ATCAGGCCCTACCCATTTATTACCTTTTTTTTTGGGGTGGGTGGGATATACATAGCAAAACATACATCAATTCAATAATTTCTACATGTACAATTCAGTGACATTGGTTACACATTTCAAGTTGTGCCACCTTTCTCGATATCATTTTCTGAATTGTTTCACCATCAACACAAACTCACTGCCCCCTAAGCTTCTCACCTAACCTTTCAAGTTGCTGCCGTCAGTTTGATCTAATATAGATTATTCTTTAAAAGAACACAATGCTCACGGCAGAATATTCTTTCCTAATTAAGCTAAACTATTGTTTCGTTTAAAGATGACTTCAGGGGACAGTTTTGGTTCAAGGTTTAAAGATTTCCTAGGGCAACAGTTTCAGGGGTCATCCAACCTCAATGACTCCAGAAAGTCTGGATTCTATGAAAATTTGAAGTGCTGTCCCACATTTTTACCCCCTTTGATCAGGACCTACCCATTTACTTCTGCTTCAAGCACTCAGCCTCAAATTTAGTTTCTTTCTTGGAGGGGGAGCAGTGTAAAAAAATTCCCCATGGAAGCATCAGCATAAGCTTGAATCTGGGGTATAGCAGGGTTTTGACAACTTGTTAGACATAACATGTTTAACCATAGTGTCGTGGGACAACTCAGTCAACTGGCATAATAAAGTTCATAAAGTTTATGTTCTCTATCCCAGGTTGGTGAGTAGTGTCTGGCGTCATAAAAGGTTGCGAGCAGTCATCTAAGATATTGGTCTCTACTTATCTGGAGCAAAAGAGAAAGAAGGTAACTCAAGACTCTGAGAAGAAACTAGTCTACGTAAACCATAGCCTCTTCTACCCTGAGACCAGAAGAACTAGATGCTACCACTACTGATCATTCTGATCAGGGCTACAACAGATGGGTCCTGATAGAATGGGAGAAAAATTTGGAAAAGACCTCAAATGCTTAAAAAGTCCTCACTTACTGGACCATTTGAAACTAGAGGACTCCCTGAGGCTATGGCTCCAAGACCTCTTTCAACCTTAAACTGAAACTATCCCAAGGTCACCTGTTAGCTAAACAACAGATTGACTTACAAAATACAGAATATCTCCTGTTAGTACTGTGCACCTTAAAAAAATCAGCTATAGGAGACCAAATTGTCAGCAATTACTTTAAAGCAAAGATATGAAGGTATGGGGGCAGGGAAACTAGATTTCTAGAAATGGAACAACCAGAACAGAAATAATGAGAATGCTGATACACTGTGAAGAATGCAACCAATGCCACTAAACAAACTGTGTAGAAATTGTTAAATGGGAATCTAACTAAATGCGTAAACTTTCACTGAAAACACACTAAAATATTATTTAAAAAAAAAAAAAAGGTGTTTGTCTGCCAGTGCACGCAGGTGTCCACATTTGGGAAAGGGAAAGAAAAGGTGTATGGGGAAATAAAAAGAACTAGCAACCCCTCATTATGTTTTCAACATTCCAGCACAATCTATTTCATTCTCTACCAGGCCCTTTGGGGAAAGGACTAAAGCTCAGGTAAGCTGGGAGTGAGGGGCAGTGCAGGTTCAACTGTAACCCAGACTATTTCTCACAAATGGCAAAGGTCCCTTTTAAATGCTATATAGGATGTAAATCCTAGTTTTTCATTAAAGAAGGTTTCTTAACCTCTTTTTAAAAAATTCATATTGAAAAGTTCCCCCCCCAAAACCAAAATCGCATTGTACCTGAGTTAGAAACCAGAAATTAGTACCCTAGAAGCAAGACCTTTTATACCATTTCCCTATTAGCAATGCTACTATACTAATAATTTTGTGCCAAAAATATCATGACCTGTTCTGGAGAAAAAAAAGTCAAGCAGAAGTCTGATACAGGCTACTTCATATAAAACTTGAAGTCACTGAGCAAAACCAAGGTCATGCTAAAAAAAAAAATTCAGGGGTTATGGATTGCTCATAAAATCCCTAGTTTCCTTCATTTTGAAATTGACTACTTATTTACTTTTTCTCATCTACTGCTGTGGTGGGGCCTTCTGAGCTTTCTGGTGTACTTCCTAAGGCTGGTGCCACTTCTTCTGAAAATAAGAGTATTGTTGTTAGCTGCCTTCCAGTTGGCTCTGACTCATGGCAACCCCATGCAGAACAAAATGAAACATCGTCTGGTCCTAAGCCATTCTCACAATCGTTTTTAATGTTTGAGCCCAGTGTTGCAGCCACCATTGTTAGTCCACTATAGCAGAAAATAGGACTAGGAAAAATCATTATGGCATAAACAAGTTTCCAGATATTATGAACCTATAAGCCCAGAATAGATGCTCTGAAGTGACCAGAGAACAAAGTACTAGACAGAAAACAAGACTGGAAAAAAAAAGCTAATTGGCTTCTGTAAAGCTCTGTGTCACTGCAGCGAAGAGTCCTGGCTTGGAACCATGATGCCTGGGTTCAATTCCTGGTTCTATCATATATAAACTGCGTGTCCTTAGATGAGATATTTAACCTTTTTGCTTGTTTCTTCATATGTAATAAGGCAATAACAATAATACCTAATAACTACCTCACAGGAATATTGTGTGGATTAAAAGGCTTAGTACACGTAAAATGCTCGGTAGTAAGCAGTCAGTAAATACTGGTTGTTATTACTACATCTGCATTCTTACTCTGGGAAAGACCTCTCACTTTCATCACAGAATTATAGTGCACACTCCTACATAGTCCCCAAAGACTCCTCTCCTCTAAAAAAAAGAAACAACTTATTTGCAGAAACTAGTTAGGCCACATCTCCTGAACTTCTATAGAAAGATGTTGTGGGGATTCATGACCTGAGCTGGGATGAGGGCTAGAGTCGGTCTGTTTGCTCCCCAAACCTGTGGCTTAGGAAATAATATTGGAGCCATTATTCCTTGTCCTAGAATGTGACTCAGCTGGAGCTGGACTCGCAAGGACTCACAAGGACACATCATCTGGGCCCCAAGGTATAAAGACAATAGCTAGGACAATCTTGGAAAATAATCTTTTAGGGAACCTTTCACATAAACCAATCGAACAGAACACTAAAGACTTTCCACTCTTATCTTTTTCTATTAGCACTTAGTGAATAGTAAAATTTCTTGGACCAGTGAAGACCCTCCTGAGTGTCGTTACTGAAACCTGTACCAATGATTACTAAGAAAAACAATTCAAACGGTAGAATCACAGAGATTTAGCAGTTTCTAGCCAATCGGTGAAAAGGTGAAACTTTCCATGGTTTTGACCATTTGTAATGTTAATATATACTGATGATTCTGTAAAGTTCCTCGGACTCGGGCAGACAAGGTTCTAGCAGCACGCTTGTCCGTTTTCCCACTTTTGCTTCTTCTGTAATATTCCTTGGACTCGAGCAGACATGGCTGTGGCAGCATAGTTGTCCGTTTTCCCATTTTTGCCTCTTCTGTAATGTAATATATCCTTGGACTTGGGCAGACATGGCTCTGGCAGCATGCTTGTCCGTTTCCTACTTTTACCTCTGAATATATGCCGAATAAAACCTTTCTTTTTGCTTTACTAAACTTTGTGATGTTTTTACCCTAGAACACCTGTCAAACCAAGGCCTCAGAACACCTGACTAACTAGAAATATAACGTATAGAAATATATTTTTACAAAAGTTTGGTCAACACAGCATTTTCAATCGCGTTAAATCTTCATCACCTTCATAGGGAAAGCCCAGAGAAAAACTAGTCATCGATTTGCCCAAGACCACTCGACGAGTTTTTAAGGGTTAAGAGAAACAGCTCTCTCCCGACCCTGGAGAGAAACTAGGCCCAAGCGAGCCCCGGCCTTGTTTTGGCGGGTTAGGTCGAGGGCCTCAGGCCAGCGAAGAGGGTCGAGTCGATAGCCTTGCCTTACCTCCTCCTTAGGATCTCCGGACCCGGTCAGCATCTTTCGCTCGTCCTCCAGCCCCATGTCCGGCTCCGGTTCTAGATTCAACAACAGCAACAACAGTTACAGCAGCCCCGCTTCAGGATCAAGAAGGACTTGTAAGGGTCACCAAGCGGATATCCGGCGATCTGGCCGGAAGTGCGGCATACTTACCGTAGTCGCGAACACACGCTCCTATTGGCATGTACTACGGGTCAAAGACAGAAGGCAGGGGTGGCTGGTATTTGCACCCGAGGAGCTTTGCCAAGAAATATCCCCCTTAGCCACGAAACACCGAAATATATTGATCCATTATTTTATTTAAAGTAGTAGTTC